CTCTCCTCTTCACCTATGGCTGACTGAGCTCTTCTGTAGTACATTGGTGCTATAGGCTATAGTATCATTCTTGACCACCTGTATTGCGTATTTCAGACTTCACTGTTGTATTATCATGATAGACAGCTTGGGTTGCAAAAGCAGCCACAGTGGTACTATCTTGAAACTAGACTTGATTAGCCAGCAGCAGACTCTCCCAGCAGTACTGATTTCAACTGGCATATTTTATTTACAGTATTTGGCCTGTTGGGTCTTGTTGCTCCTCAATTGGCCATGTCCAAATTTGAAAGAAGTCCCTAATTTCAGTCTCCTAAATGAATTTCCAGAATGTGAGGTATCCATTTTTTTTTTTTTTTTCTGGAGGTAAAGAAACCTGAGATTACACAGGCAGCCGTGAAGCCAAAGCCTTCTGGCAGCAGATCCCAGGCATAGCCAGAGGAGACTGAGCCTGAGGCTGTGGCTTTGGTCAAGGCCGTGTCTCCTCCTCCTCTTGATTTCTAACTTAATTCCGTGTGGTTAGAGACTATACTTAACATGATTTCAGTCCTTCGAAACTTCTAGAGACTTTTTTAATTGCCCAGCTTACAGTTTTTCTTCTGTAATGTGCTTTTGTTTGGTAGAACATTCTATAAATATCAGATAAACTTGATTGAAGGTTGTTCATTGCCTTCTATATCCTTCCTGCTTTTGTACTTATTCTATCCATTATCAAGAGAGGGGTATTAAAATCCCTGGCTGTAATTGCAGATTTATCTATTTATCCTTGAAGTTCTCCCAGTTTTTGCTGTGAAATAAAATACATGAATATTTTGAAGCAGTGTTTTTTAGGTGCACACAGTACATTTAGGATTGTTATATCTTCTTGATGAATTGATCCTTTTATCTTGGTTTAATGTCCTTTTTTATCCCTGACAATATTCCTTGTTCCAAAGTCTGCATTTTTTTATGTTAATGTAGCCACTCCTTATTTTTATTATTAATGTGTATCTTGTAGACAGCATATAATTAAGTGTTGCTATTTAACCAGTCTGTCAATCTCTACATTCTAATTAGAGTGATTAGACCGTTTACTTTTTAATATAAATGTTGATTTGGTTGGTTTGATTTAAATCTACCCATCTTGCTACGTTTTTTCTATTTGCTTTTCTTTTTTTTCTTTCTATTTTTAGAGAGGGAGAGAGAGGGGGAGGAGGGGTAGAAGGAGAGGGAGATAGAAAGTCTCAAGCAGGCCCCTCACTCAGCACGGAGCTTGACCCCGGGCTTTATCCCACAACCCTGAGATCATGACCTGAGCCGAAATCAGGAGTCAGCTCAACTGAGCAACCCAGGCGCCCCTCTGCTTTTCTTTTTGTCCTAGCTAATCTTTTCTCTCTTTTCTTGCCTTATTTTTGATGAATTGAGTATTTTTTAAGCATTCCACTTTATCTCCGTTTTTGGCTTATTTATGATACTGCTCTCTTTTTTTAGTTGGTTCTTCAGGGTTTACAGTGTGCCATTTTAACTTATCATAGTCTACCTTCCAGTGTTATTCCATACTATGAATAATGTATAAATCTTAGAATAGTTCATTTCTTTCTCCTCTCTTTTATGCTTTTGTTGCCATACATGTATCAACTTTATATTTTACTTATAAGCCTCACTACTGTTACTATTTTTGTTTTGAATAGTCATGTATTTTTTTCATTATTATTTCATTGTGAAGCACCCATAACATGACACTTAACCATTTTTAAAAAATTTTAAGTAGGCTTCACACCCAACATGGGGCTTGAACTCATGACCCTGAGATCAAGAGTTACATGCTCTACCAACTGAGCCAGTCAGGCATCCCCCATCTTAACTATTTTTAATTGTACACTTTGGTGGCATTCAGGACATTCACTTTATTGTGTTACCATCACCACCATCCATTCACAGAACACTTTTCATCTTGCAAAATTGAAACTCTACTTATTAAACAGCCCCCCATTCTCCCCTTCCCCCAGCCCCTGGCAACCAGCATTTCACTTACTGTCTTTCTGAATTTGACTATTCTCAATACCTCTTATAAGCAGAATCATACAGTATTTGTCACTGACTTATTTCACTTAGCATAATGTGCTCAAGATTCATCCATGTTAATTTTTTGTGGAGTCATCATCCTGTTTTCCTTAGAGGCTGCACCAGTTTACATGTCCACCAACAATGCACAGGGTTCCAATTTCTCTATCAGTCACATTTTATTTATTTATTTATTTATTAAAAAAAGATTTTATTTATTTATTTGAGAGAGAGAGAATGAGAGATAGAGAACACGAGAGGGAAGAGGGTCAGAGGGAGAAGCAGACTCCCCGCCGAGCAGGGAGCCCGATGTGGGACTCGATCCCGGGACTCCAGGATCATGACCTGAGCCGAAGGCAGTCACCCAGCCAACTGAGCCACCCAGGCGCCCTATCAGTCACATTTTAAAGCAATAAAATATAAGAAAAAAAGTTCTTATATTCACTCACATACTTACCATTTCCTCTTCTTTCTTGTAGGTCCCTGTTTCCATATGATATCATTTTCTTTGTGCCTGAAGAATTTCCTTTACCATTTCTTGCAGTGACAAATTCTCTTAGTTCATATTTGTTTTAGTTTTTGTTTTGCCTTTATTTTTGAAGGCTTTTCCTTTTGGATATATAATTCTATATTGGTAGCCTTTTCTCATTTAATACTTTAAATACTTTGTCCCATTGTCCTCCGGCTTATTCTTTGTTATTCTCTATGTTTCTTTTTCCTCTAATGGCTTTTAAGATTTTTTTTTCCCAGTGACTGGATGATAGTATATCTTGGTGTGGTTTTCTTTGTGTTTATCCTGCTTGGGATTTGTTGAGTTTCTTAGATTTATGGGCTTAGAGTTTTCATGAAATTCAGAAAATGTTCAGCCATTATGTCTTAAAATATTTTTTCTATTACATTCTCTATTTCTAGGACTCAAATTAGATATATATATTAGACCACTTGATATTGTTTAAAGTCACTGAAACTGTTTCTTTTTTTTTTTCCCCCCAATTTTTTTCTCTATTCTTCAGTTTGGATACTTTCTGTTGCTTTGTTTCCAAGTCACTGATCTTTTCTTTTGCAGTGTCTAAATGCTTTTACTCATATCTGGATAGTTTTTTTTTTAATTTGAAATCGTGTTTTTCATCTCAAAGTTGCATTTAGTTCTTCACATATATATATATATATATATATATATATATATATAATCTCTTTTTCCTTCACAGTGTTCATTTTTTTCTTTAAACCTTTGAACATGTTGGGCATATTTAAGAAGACTTTTAATGTCCTTTGCTAATTTTGTCAATTCTGTCATTTCTTTCTATTGAATGGTTTCTTTCTTGGTTATTAGTCACATTTCCCTGCTCTTTAGTGACTTTGCATCTTTAGTGACTTTTTAACGATTTTATTTTATTTTTTAAAGATTTTATTTATTTGAGAGAGAGTGAGAGAGCCAGAGAGTGCACAAGTGAAGGGGTGGGGCAGAGGCAGAAGCAGACTCCCCACTAAACAGGGAGCCTGACTCGGGGCTCAGTCCCAGGACCCTGGGATCATGACCTAAGCTGAAGGCAGACGCTTAACTGACTGAGCCACGCAGGTGCCCCTATTTATTTATTTTAGAGAGAGGGGGAGAGAGTGCCCTTGAGGAGGGGGGAGGAGAGAGAAGATCCCAAGTAGACTCTGTGCTGAGGGTGGAGCTCAACTTAGGGCTTAGTCTCACGACTCCAAGATCATGACCCGAGGCAAAACCAAGAGTTGGATGCACAGCTGACTGAGCCACCCAGGCACCCACATGTTTAGTGACTTTTGTTGTGATACTGAACAAAGTGAATGTTGTAGATATGAGCGTTTTTGAGTGTGTTTGTCTTATTTTTTCTGTTAGCAATTAAGTTACTTGTTTACATCAGCTTGCTCCTTTTAACCTTTTTTTTGTATAGGTTTAAAATTAAAGTGGCCTTTACTGCAAGGCTAATTTAGCTGCTAAGGTCTTACTCTATTGGTATCTCTACCAAAAGCTGTGATCTCTGGTTCGTTGAAATGCAAATATCTCCCAACTGTGTGTGAAATTTTAGAATTTCTCATTTTTCAGTTCCCTGGTCGTTCTTTGCCCAGTCTTTTGGAGTTAAACTTTTCTCATGCTTTTCTTAGTATTCAACAAAATCTCAAGGGGAGTCCCATTCAGATTTATAGAACTCTTTCTACATAGTTCCTTCCTCTCTGGAATTTAGCACCTTGACTTCCAGCCGCTTCAGTCTCTCTCAAATTCTGTCTCTGTTTTATAATTTAAGCAAAACCACTATGTTGTACTTTGGAGTTCCTTCCCTGCATTTGGTCCCAAATGTGCCTTCAGACAGAAAGCTGGGACAGTTACACATTTAGGTTTATAATCTATTTCAAATTATTTTTTTAAAGATTTTATTTATTTATTTGACACAGGGAGAGAGCAAGCACAAGCAGGAGATCCCGATGTAGGGCTCGATTGACCTGAGTCCGATGTGGGGCTCAATCGACCTGAGCCGAAGGCAGACACTTAGCTGACTGAGCCACCCAGGCACCCCTCTATTTCAAATTAATATTTGTATATGGTATGAGGTTGATGTCAAGGTTCATTTTTTTCTGTATAGATATCTATTTGTTTCAGTACCATTTGGTGAAAAGACTCTCCCCATCAAATCATGTTGGTACCTTTATTGCCATATAAATATATGTGTGTCTATTTTTGGACTATATTTTTTTCCACTGATTGTTGTCTGTTTTCATACTAATACTATAATGTGGCTCTTGACAAGAATTTATGAAAGATCTAGTGAGTGGTTCTGACATGAAATAAATACTTCATTTGACTTTATGATGTTTTGAAAAATAGATTTTGAGTTTGAATTTGAAATACAGTGTTTCCACTAACTTGAATGCAATGTTATGCTATGTCATTTAATAATCGAATGAAGAGATATATTTTAAACTTACTTGTCTTACAGAGACCTTTTAATAAAAGTGAAATTTGGAGAAAGCATTGAGGACTTACAGACCTGCCGACTCTTAATTAAACAGTACATCCCGACAGGACTTTTTGTGGATCCGTATGAGTTGGCTTCATTACGAGAGAGAAACATAACAGAGGTACAACTATTAGAGGATTTTTTTGAGAGAGAAATTATTTTAGGGATGCTATAATTTGGATTAGGAAAAAATAATAGACAACATTGTATTTTTTATTCATTTTGTTAAAGTGTGTAAAGTAACTTTTTTTTTTTAGGTAGGATGAGAGTATTCTTTAAAAAGTGAGTGATATGTGTCAAACTTGTCAGTAATAAGCCAACTAAACTGAGCTAGTTAAATGCTTTTTGTTAGAATGGTTCTTAGTTTCATGACTAAGAAAATTATATGTCTTTGAGAAGATTAATGATCAATAAATACTGCTTCAGCAGCATTTAACAGTATTGTTTGAGTGACATATACATGAACACCTGTATAATTTGGATGTCAGAGGAAAGGAAACTGATACTATTGGCTATCTGTATGTCAGATATCTTCTTTTTTTTTTTTAAGGAAGCAAGGTAAAATTAAGCATTAGAGAAAGATTATGAACCATACCCTTTGCATAGATCAATCTTTATAACAACCCTAGAAGTATTATTTCTCCATTTTATAGATAAGGAAACTGAGGCACAAAAAGGCCAGGTAACTTATCCAGGATCACACAGGTAAATGGAAGAGCCAAGAGATAAATCCAGGGCTGTCTAATTAAAAAGTTGTTGCTCTTTCCAGAAATGAATTTTATTCCTTAGTTAACGGGGTCTCTGACTTTTGGTAAAAATCACTTGGGGCCACTTTTTGTGCAGATTATGTCTTCCTGGGAAAGCTTAATTCAGTAGGTCTAGATTGGACCCCAAAGTCTGTTTTAACAACTCAGATGATTCCTATTAAGAAATTTTGGGAAGCACCGTCTTTATTCTTAAGATTATAATCTATATGTGAATATAAAAGAGGCAAAATAGATATACTTGGAGTCATTTATGATGACAATTTATTTCTAATTGTGGTTTAGGCCAATTTCTTCACCTGTTTTAATTATTTAAATTTTTTTTGAATAGGTAATTATATTCTCATGGTTCAAAATTCAAGAGGTATAAAAAGTTGTACAATGATGAGCTTCCACTTATCTCAACCCCCATTCACCAAGTTTCTTCGTGTGTTCTGGGTTTTTTTTGTACATATATAGCAGTTTAGATAAACATGTTCACATATATGGCAGTCTCACTAAATATATACATGTGGAAATACCTCATTTCTTTTTTTTACTCATTTCTTTCTTTCCTTCACTGAGTCATGAATTCTGAATGAGGCTTTTAAAATTTTAAATAATAGATTTCAAATTTAAATGTGGTTCTTGGCTTGTAGTGACATGGATTGGAATCATATTTAAACCTACTTAATAAAATTGCCTACCATGTTTTAAGAAAATGGAATTTTTTTGCATAGGAGTGCCCAAAAAGAGATCACATGCCCCCCTCTTGGGATAAGATTGGGTATGTGCAGATTAATTGTAACAAGAAGACTGGGCAGGCAAAGGATGTCACTCTGGATTGATTGACAAACTTCTCTTTATCTTAATTTTCTGTTTCCTAATTTTCTAATCCCTAATTATAAGCCTTTTAAGTGAATTTACTTTTTCATTTCAAATAGATGTCTCATTTGTGACACATAGATAATTAGAAGTTGATTTCCTGATATATGAGATGCTATTTCTTTTTGCCTAGCTGTTGAGACTGTGGCCCGATTCTTTGTGCAGAGAAACTTTGTCTCAAGAAGTGGTATTAAATGATGAATACAACTGGATAGAAGGAAATTTTTATGTAGGGAATGATTGATACTTACGTATTTAGATTGAGATCTTGACTATTCCATGAAATAAAATTTGTGACTGCAGCAGATAGAACAATGGGTTCAAATTAAATGAGTGATGGTGGCAATAAAATGTTTTGTAAGGAGTTTGTGATGGTTTGTGAGCAATTTGAAAATAAAGACAAGCCTTAAACAGAGTCACCATGAATAAGGCACTTCAAATGAATCTCACTTCATTTTTAGGTAGGGCTATTTGATATATTTAATCAAAATATCTCACATTCTTTGAAAACAGCATAATATTAGATTGAAGCATATGAAATTGCTATTCTTTCAGTCAAAATGGAAATGCTATGTTTTTGAAATCATAAGTTTTACTCAATCAAAATGTGTAGTATTAGGACTTATGCCCTGACCAAGTTGGAGGACAGGGACCAGATTTACTCTCCCACTTGAAACAACCAAGTAATAGACAAAATATATGAAATAATGGAAAAGATGATTGAATATCAGGCAGTGAGGGCAGTGATATCTGAAATAAATGGAAAACAAATAAGGTGAGCTCTAGGACTGTCCCAGCTTATTGCCTTGGAGAGTTTTCAGGCTGTAGTATAGGGAGCAAGAACCCAAGCAGAGCCTAGTGGACTTCTTGAGTTGATGAGATGAAGGTGAAATTCTGGGAAGACCAAGGTCACCAGAATTCACAAAGCAGTGTAGCAGAGAGAAGAGAATTGCAGAGATAACTCCAGAGATCCATAAAAGGTTCCCCTCAAGTAACATAGTTGAGTATTGATTAGTGCATGTGTGTGAGGAAACTACTTGCTGCTGGGAAAAGAACCATATGAAAATTTAGAGGTTACAGTGTCAGACACTCACATAGGGCCAGTAGTAGTGTCTGTTCCCAGCAACCATGCTAGGAAAAGCCTCATAATTCATTGGGCATTAGGTAGAGTAAACAGAAGAACTTTTACTCGGTGGTGGGGGATATTTAGCCCTAGCCTGAACATAATGGCATTCCAGTTTAACAAATCTTAAAAGCACGACCTTTAAAAAGTCAAACTGTAAGTAACTTTACTGCATACAAGCAAAGCTCAAGAATACTTATAGGAATACAGAAATATCCAGCATCCAACAATATCAAAATCACAATGTCTTGATTTTAATAAAAAATCAGATGCAAGGATGGGGGAAAATATAGCCTGTAATGAGGAGATAAATAAATCAGTCAAAACCAATCCAGAACTGACCCAGATGTTAGCATTGGGCTATGAAAACAGTTATTATAACTGTATTCCATATGTTCAAAAAACTAAGTATAGATGTGGAAGATATGTAAAAGGACAACATTAAACTTGTGAAGATTAAGACTACAGTGTATGAAATAGAAAATATTCTGGATAAAATTAATGGCATTTTAAACATTGCAGAAGAAAAGATTAATGGACTTGAAGACAGTAATAGAAGCTACCTAAAACAGATTTAAAAAAAAAAAGAAACATAAAAAGTGAATAGAGTAATAGTGAGTTGTGGGACAACTTCAAGTGGCCTACTATACCTGTATTGGACTGTCTTGAAGAGATATCTCTACCCCCATGTTCCTTGCAGCATTATTCACAGTAGACAAGCTATGGAAACAGCCTCAGTGTCCATCAACAGATGAGTGGATAAAGAAAATATGTATGTAAATATATACAGTGGAATGTTATTCATCTAAAAAAAGAAGAAAATCCTGCCATTTGCTACAAGCTAAGTGAAGTAAGTCAACAGAGAAAGACAAATACTGTATGATCTCATTTATATTTGGAATCTAAAAAAAACCTGAACTCATAGAAACAGAGGGTAGTTTGGTGGTTGCCAGAAGCAAGAGTAGGGAAGAAACAGGTGAAGGTGGTCAAAGAATACAGACATCCAGTTATAAGATGAGTAAATTCTGGGGGTCTAGTGTATAGCATGTGACTATAGTTAACAATAGTGTATTGTATATTTGAAAGTTGTTAAAAGAGTATACTTTAAAAGTGCTCATCGGGGGTGCCTGGCTGGCTCAGTAGAGCATATGACTCTTAATCTCAGGATCGTGAGTTTGAGCCCCATGTTGGGTGTAGAGATTACTTTAAAAAGTAATAAAATAAAAGTTTTCACTGTACACACGCACACACACATGAGAAGGTAACTATGTGTGATGATGGTTGTGCTAACCTTACTGTGGCAATCATTTTGCATTATAAATGTATTTCAGATGATTGTGTTGTATGCCTTAGACCTATACAATGTTATATGTCAATTATATCTCAATAAAGCTCAGTGTGGGGGGGTGGGGTGGGGAAGGTGTGATTGGAATCTCCAAGGAGAGAAGAGGAAAATGGAGATGGAAAAAAATATTTGAAGAAATAATGGCTGAGAAATTTCCAGATTTGATGAAAACTATAAATCCACATATCTAAGATGCTCAAGTACCAGAAACATGAAGAAAACTATACCGAGGTACATGTTACTCAAATTGTTTAAAACAATGAGAATGAGAGGTGCCTGGGTGGGTCGGTCAGTTAAGTGTCTGACTTTCGCTCAGGTCATGATCTCGGGGTCCTGGGATCGAGCCCCATGTTGGGCTCCATGCTCAATGGGGAGTCTGTTTCTCCCTCTCTGTCTGCCCCTCTCCCACCTTGTGCTTTCTCTCTCTTTTTCTCTCTCAAATGAATAAAATCTTTAAAAAAAATAAGACAATGAGAATGAGAAAAAGATTAAGTTATTTAAATTCCAGTTAGTTAACATACAGTGTAATATTAGTTTCAGGTGTACAAAATGGTGATACAGCACTTCCATATATCACCCAGTGCTCATCATAACAACTGCACTCCTTAATCCCCATCACGTGTTTTAACACATCCCCCCACTTACCTCCTTTCTGGTAGCCATCAGTTTGTTCTCTGTAGTTAAGAATCTGTTTCTTGGTTTGCCTCTCTCTCTTTTTTTCCTCTTTGTTCATTTGTTTTCTTTCTTAAATTCCATGTAGGAGTAAAATCATATGGTATTTGTCTTTCTGTGACTTACTTCACTTAGCATAATACCTTTCTAGCTCTGTCCATGTCATTGCAAACGGCAAGATTTCATTCTTTTTTTTATTTAAAGATTTTATTTATTTATTTGAGAGAGAGAGAATGAGAGATAGAGAGCACGAGAGGGAAGAGGGTCAGAGGGAGAAGCAGACTCCCTGCCGAGCAGGAAGCCCGATATGGGACTCGATCCCGGGACTCCAGGATCATGACCTGAGCCGAAGG